TTTTTGTTTGTTTGTTTTTGTTAAATTATCTTGTGTTGATTTAAAGGGAACCGGTTTTGCATTTCCATTTAGTTAGTCCTGGCTGGAGAGCTGTCTGAGAAGTTAAATGGGAGTTTATGGATACAGTTTTAACACTAACAGAGGTGCCAGATTATTGGAGAGAACTCAGAATGACTATTCAGAATTACTTAACCTGGTCAAATGTGATTCTGAGAGCATCAATCGGAAGAAAGCTACTCGCACTAACTTGCTGATTTGTGTGATTGCGTTCCCATACGGCCTCATGTATAAGGGTTAATGTAAGCAATCCCCAAAATACAAACTGTCCATGTTACTCCCACTTTATTACAATCCATGGTAATTATTTTTTCTCTCCTGTCTCCCCATTATATTCCTCTACACTATTCATAAAACTAACAAACAAGATTATTGGATTGGTTCTTGTTAGAATAATTCACCCTGTATTTGTTTGATTAAACCTGATTGGCAGCCCTTTGTTGTTAATCTTGCTCCCAGGGTTGAAGTGTTCATTTCTCTCCACTCCAGCTCCATGTTCACACCCCCACTTTAGTCATGCATGAGTCTCCAGCAGTGGTCTGGGCCAGGGATTGGAACCATGGCTGTGCTAACATAAGCTTTGATCTTTGCAATGCAAAAAAATGTATTCCATGGCTTAGATTTTCAGTGTAGAGCCGTGTGTAACTTTATTACATTTCTGTTCTCGTTTTCTTGGGATCTTATTGGTATAACATGGCTGGGAAGCTAACAACACTGTGACCACTGTGCTCTTTGGTCATGCAGTGCCCTTTTTAATTGTGGACCTTCTGCAACTCTTCCAGTCCAATCATGAGTGGCAGTCTGGTTGTGGCACCGTAGCCTGTAAACATACGTGTGTAAGAGAATATCAAAGTATGTTCTAGATAATATATAGACACAAAAAACACCCCGCGGGGCCTTGGTGCTCCAAACTAGATGACCCAGCAAAACCAATCCAAACCCACTGACCAAATATCACATGCAACTCAACACCAGCCTTTCCTTGCATCCCTCCACTGCCAAGCCCCATGTGCTGAGCCTGAAATAGACCCTCTTCTCTTACCCAGAGTCATATCATTAAGACACATGTCCTGATAAGATAACTGATCCTGTTATGTAGTGTCTAGCCGAGGTGGGGCCTACCAGGCAGTGTCACATTAAAGGGGCACTCAACCAGTTTTAAACATTAAATTCAGCGTACGCATCATGAGGAGAATCCTGTGAAAACAGTATATAATCCTCTTTGGCTCTTGATGGAGCTTTCCAAAATTTAAAAGATAACCCTTTTGTTTTCTCCCCAGCCAAATGGCTAATGAATGTTCAAATTTTTACCAGGCCCTCAATACAGTACCATTGTTTGTTTTTGGCTGTTGAGTGAAGAAAATCTACCAGCCACTTGCATATTTTACCAGCATTTGACTGGTGGGTGGTGCTAATTTTGTACCCTGAGCTTGACTTGAGCTTGACCTGTACAAGAGACTAAAAGTCAAGATATCTCATCCTCTGGTGCTTTGGTTTCAGCCATTCTTTTAGCTGAAGTGCCCATTTAACAGTATCATTTCAAACTGCAGTTGAATACATAGAAACAAATATATAAATAAAGCATTTTCTCCCATTTTTGACCCCTTACTGTTCTGGAAAACCACAACTAGCCCAAACTAACGGCTGTTTGGTAGTTTCTGAGAGGTATTAGAGGTGAATTACTGAAGATCCTGAAAACAGACTTCTCTCTGTTAGCAAGCCAGTTTCAGTTGTTATTTTAGTCTGTAGGGAGTTACAAAGTTTATCTGTAAATCACATAAAAAAAGCCTCAACTTCCTGTCAGCTCAGCACATTACCGTCTTAAAGCAGCAATGACTCCACCATGTGAGCACATAGCCTCTACGTGATTCTCCTTTATTGTTATGTACTTTTTAATAAGGTTCATGTTTCGTATCAACAGGTACAATGGATCTTGTGATGTTGGTGGCTTTCAGCTCCTGGCTGGCTCCTGCACTCGGTGAGCATCCTTTTCATTAAACGTTCGCTTATGTTGTTCTCTCTCTTAAGCTTGACTGCCGTAAGTGTTCAGTTGCTTCTCCTTTTCTGTAGCTTGGGTTTTGTTTAAGTTCCTTCATGCTAAACCAGCTGATGTGTCTGTATAATAGGATCAGCGTTTGGCAGGGAAGTGTTGGGTAAGTTTCCTGCATTAGAGTGGTCACCCGCAATGCATGGACATTTGACTTCTAATTTTGTTGCGTTTCCGCTGCTCACTTATTTGGTATGGCCACTTGCCATGGGTTCAAATGTGTGTAAAATGCTATGTCCTACTCTTTTGGGTAGAATTTACATGTAATGTTTTCCATTTTAAATCATTTTAAGCAAGTGTTTTGCTGTGAGGAAAGGCCATGTCAGAATATTGTGAATGTTTCCTTGTACTGCAGTGTGAATAATAGTTTATTCAGACTGCTGCCAAGTTTTCCATTGTTAATGCAGGTCCTGGGCTTTGGTTCATTTCTCTGTGTGCTCTGCATGCCATCAGCTGAGCTTGATGTTAAGCAGGATTGCCTACACTAAAGGTTTTGTTATCTTCTCTGAGGTCTGTTAGATTCGGACCTTATTTTCAAAGACTTGTCAGCACCAGTATGGTAAAATATGCTTTTTCTTCACAGAGGAAGATATTAATATTAGTGTTTACTACACAATAATGATGTCAAAGGTAACTCATACTGCAGCAATGGGCTGTGGAGTGTTTAAAATATGTTTCACCTCAGGGTTTCATCAGTGTCACACTCATTTGTAACAGTTGTTGTCATCCCGTACATCAAGGACACAGCCCTTCTTCTGGGTGTCACTAAAGCATCTGAACTCATGTTGATGAGCTGTTGGAAAGGGTTGGAATAGGCAAACTCACACATTACTTTTTTCACGATTAACAGATAATTATTCAACTGTATTCAACATCAAGTGTCAAAGTTTATACAGAAGCACGACTACTAGGTCAGTCTGACATTTAAAAAGCTGTTCACAAAAATATTTTAATGAGAGCTGTATGATATAACACATTAATGATGTGAAATTGTTGCCTAGCACAAGTATTTATGTAACCTCCAATGTGCTACTTCAAGGTTACATTGTTCTCACTCCTAACAGTGATGCTCATGTAAACAATGTCTGCTTTGTGTCTTTATTATTCTACCAAGTGAAGTTGTCTCTTTTAATTATTCTGGTTGTTTGTCACTGAACATAAGGCAGAAATTGTGATAAAGCTTGTTGCTGGGTACAGTATGCTTTCTCGCAAGATGTAAAAAAGTTTGTAGCGTCATGTGAACGCAGCCAACATGTTTTTCCACATGGGAGAAGAAGAGACGTGATAGAGCAGAGGGGTCTGACCTTTCCCACATCCGCAACAGCAAACACACAATTACACAGATCAGAACGATAAAAGAAATACACAGTAAACAAAGGTGTGGAGAGCAGAATCAGACTAGCAGAATCAAGAGATGTTGGGACTTTTGATCCTAAGATTCTTTTGATGCTTTTTTCTGCAGAATTCACTATTCACAAGTTATTCATGCTTACAACACTTTTACATATATCCAGACTACCATCAATTTTGGCATTTGGCTGACATGCATTTACACCACCATGTGAATGTCTTTAAAAAGACTAATGATTTTGCTTATTTTTTCACAGCTTCAGCGGCAGTGGCAGATAAGGACAAAGGTGGGTATTATTTGAACAGAAGCTTAGAAAAGTCAAATTAAGATAAGCTGCATACTCGTCTTAGCTGGCATATAAATTGGTACTGGCACCGAACTGGCTAATGACTAGATGAATGACTGAAGCCCTAAAACTGCTGAATAGCTGTCACATCATGAGTACTCTCTGAAGCGTGTCAGTGGGTAAATCTGCTTCTCATTTGTTTCCTCTCTCTGTTCTCTCCTATCAGACTATGACAGTGCTTTTCAATACGGTGAGTGTTGAGCAGATGAACGGGGCCTTTTAACGGCTGACCCGCTACACAGGAAACATCTGGGAGGTTGAAACGAGTTGGCATTTTCCACTTGTTTTTCCAGAAGTGATGGAAAACTTTCACCCCCAAGGCCAAGCTTCTGGAGCAATCCCACTGCAAATACTTCTAATCCTGTCCACTGTGTTGTAGGCTGGATTTTCAGTGCATCTAAGTGACTCAAAATCTGCATTGATATTTTTTTAATGCCTTCCATTAGTTCTGTACTTGTTATCTTTTGCTTTATTTGGGCAATAGGCAAGCTTTGGTAGTGTTCTCCATACCCTTTATCGTACCATTCCAACCACTCTTTATGCCCTTTTGGAAGGCCACTAGAGCAGTGGTTCTCAGACTGGGCGTCAGCATTCCTCAAAGGATCCCAAGATAAATCTAAGGGGTCACAAGATATTAACAGGGATAAAAAAAAAAAGAAAGAAAAAATGTATTTCTGTTGCACAAAATTCTGTATATTTTTCTCTGACTTTCATTTATTTATCTGTCTTTTTTCTTTTGGAGTTCTGCAGCACACCAGCTGTGTGCAAGTTCAAACTTAGTTATAAAGTAAATTATTACTAAATTGTGATTTATGCATTACTTACTATACCATACTATAAATTGCCACTAAACTCTAAGTAACAACTAAATAGTTAACATGCCCTTTAGGTGGTGTAAATAATGAAATGTCAGAGTTATATTCACTGACGATAAAAGAGCAGTTCTTCTGCCACACAACCTCCTTTTTTTCATTAATTGCAGCCATTTTGTGACCCATTACTCGAGGAGAGACTTCAATATTACTACGATGTGCTACAAGTTATGACTTATGTCCAAACTAGTTAAGTTAGGCCCTAAGTGACTCTGGTGCAACCAATTTTTCTAGCTGATTTAGTTACAAACTTGTAGTTACTAAGCCTCTAGTGTCGACTTTACACCCTAACTAACTGGATACTTTTAGCTTCTCAGGCCTCTAAAAATCTTTAATTAAACAACCTGAGACAGAAAAATTACTCTTTAGTCAAAATGTTTGCAAATACTTTATTTTGAGGGGTCACAAACCCAAAAGGTTGAGAGTCACTGCCTTAAAGAACTGTTGAAACATGCTGGCCTAACCTTTATTTGCTATGGTCATGTTATTTGTCGTTGGACGGCTATAGGGTTACTTAATCATAATAACTCACCAGATATAAAACAAGCAGACACTGTCCCCACATTTACTGCTGCCTGATTTTTTTGGGGAGTTGATGAGAACAGAAACATTTTCTTTGCAACAATTTTACAAGCTAGATTTCTTCTGCACAGTTTTATCCAGTCTTTTTGGGACAGACAACTACAGAGTTAAAGTGGACCATAGTGTTTACACTTTTGGTGACTGCAGCTCATAGGAATTTGTGGTGTCCCAACGTGACCATTAGGGGGCTGCAGAATATTTCTGCAATGCACTAAAGGCCACAGAAGGCTTTTGATTTTATGATGTTTTCTATGACAAAACGTCCATATGTTACCATTCACTTCTGCAAGCACTATAAAGTATGTTTTTTCCTTTCAGATTATGAATCTCTGAGAATCGGTGGCCTGGTTTTTGCAGTGGTTCTGTTCCTCATGGGAATTGCCCTAATTGTCAGTAAGTGTTTGACCACCTTAAATACTCAGCAGATGTGTAATGTTGAGTGTCAGTGTCACCACACCGTGATCCCTGTATGTGTGAGTTGACCTCACCGTCTCCCAAATTCATACGCTGCTGCAATGCTGCAAAACAAGCAGGCTTCTGTCTCTCTTAGACGTCTGGAAGGGAGGCAGCCTTAAGCTTCTTACGCAATCTCAACACTCTCATGATCCATGTATCACGGCAATTTGCCCTTTATACCTTATCCCTCTCCTCACTCACAGTGTCCTTCCAAGGTTACTCCTCCTACCTGCCAGCACATGCTGTTATTGCCAGTGGTAGCCCTGAAACCAAAACCAACCAATAAATAATTCATGGAAACCCACACACTCTGCCACACTTTTTCTCTGCTTCTGTTAGTCAAGACCAGTGTGGATTCCTAACTGCACTTTATGAAGAAATATGTGTAGGGCTTCGTTTCAGAAGAAACAGGTTATATGAGTGGTCACAATAACCAACAAAATAAGAGGAGCTATTGAATGTGTATTTGAATTTATGAATTGGCTTTGACTGCCAGAGCTGAAAAGAGTAGAGCCTGCTATCACCACTAAATGAATGTCGTTAAATGCACACATTTAACAGTTAAATCAAAGTTATTAATGTTTTAAAAGCATTGAAAATACATATTTTATATTTTTAAATTTTTACACCTGTGAATATACTTAAACTTGATATGGCTTTAAAAGTTGCTGTTTGCCCCTTCAAGCTTTTAACAACAGCAACTTTTGAATTGATGAAAGTATAATATCTGTTTGATTGATAAGCATGTGTGCAACTGTGACGTGAGATGCCACCAGGGGCAGAGGGAAGCCTTACAAGCAGAGCATAAAACAGAACAAATAAAGAGCGCATATCCTGGATGTTTATGGGTTGACATTTCATATATTGCATTTGAAATTTAAAAAAAAAACATGATAGATGACAATAGGCACCCATTGGCGCCTCCTAGTGTCAGTGGGACTGAATAGGATGAGGATTCTCTTTCAAGACGCTTACAGCTTTATTCTTAGTCCTGAGAGTATGTAGGTCACTACCCTGGTCTGGGATTTCCTAGTTATTTTTCCTAGAGCACCTAGCAAGTATATTATAATATTAATCTGTATGAAACTGCTCAGACTCTATGTGTTGTAAAGAGCCTGTGCGTTAATTAGTTTGTGTTATATTATCTCTATTATGTTTTTAAGCAAACCAAATTTGGTTTAAATGACATAAGAACAAAGGTTAAATGTTAAAGGTTGACCTCCCCATAATATGGACGCTACAAGCTGGAAGTTTTGGAGGAAAAGTTAAACAAGTGAATGCTGCAATGATTTAGATACATGAATATAGACTTGAGCTTGGGCCAAGGAGCTAGAATCTTATACGGCCTCCCAAGATGGGCTTATTGGCACAAGCTGGAGAGTGTATTCATGTACATGTCAAGGCCTGGAAAAGCCTCTTCCTCTTTTTATACTTAAAGGTAGTGGTGAAGGTATATATGTATATATATATATATATATATATATATATATATTTATATTTAAAATGGCTTTTAAAATCTAGCTGAGTCTAATGTGTTTTTAACGTATGTAATGTACTGTTTTATATTGTTTTACTGATTGATGTTCTTGTATGTACAGTGTCTTTGAGTATTTAGAAAAGCATTGTTAATTTTTAAATAAAATGTATTATTATTATATACACTCAAAACACAAAAAAGTCATAGTTTTACACACATGACATCCTTTATCTTGTGTTTCCCAGCCAGAAAATGTACCTGTTCGAGCGACAAGCCAAGGTAAGTCAAAGTTAAATATTTTGTTATGTGTAAAACAAACAACCATACCCCCCCACCGGTTTGATTCTCAAGCCCTTTTATTTGACATTCAGTTGTAAAATTGCTAGTTAGTTCATTATTTAATTGTTACTTTCCCTCAGGTCCAGAGGTCCAGATGTGGAATCAGGTGTTCCAAAGGGTAAATAATTTTCTTCCTTATATAATAATAACTAGGAATGTTAAATATCTATTTTTATTTTTAAACAAAACAGCAATCTGAAATTCTTTCTACAGCTTAGTAGACACAGAGGAAAAGAGCATTGGAGATCTGGTAAGTGTCTTACAAACATTTATTTTCTGCTAAAGGAAGCTGGAAGAGGTTGTTTCAGAGCACATCAAACTCATCTTCCTCTTTTTCTTTCTCACAGTGTTACTGACTGCCGCCATTAGGTGGCAGCAAATACTTTGATCACAGCTGAGGACAATCTTTCCATGAACACACGAATCTTCCTTCAATTTCATTATGTTACTGTGCTCCTTTTTTCTTTTTTAATGCTTGTATCATCAGTAACTGTTACTCGATAATGTGCCAACTGTATATGGTGGCAATAGTGTTACTGTCGTTTGTATTTTTGTGACTTTCAGATTGATAAAAATGAATGCAAAATAATAAAACAAATGTTATAAAAGGTTTATTGCTTTTGTCTTGTGCATCATTATTTGTTTTTCTCTGCCATTAGAAGTAGACCAGGGAACAGCCCTTTGTTATGTTGCACTCCTGTTTTTGCTGACACTGCAGTCAGTTCAGTTACACGCGCAGTAGTAACCAGCAGTGTGAATGATTTATGTGCTGCATTGTGCAGCTCTTGGAGAAGGCTGTCTTTAACGAAATCCACTTAATTTTTACCTATCTCTGTGTTTCAGTGCTGTTCATTGTCAGATTTTCTACTGTGGTGAGTCTGCAAATGTAAAAGCTGCATAAGTAGGCTATATTTTCTCCCTGGAGTCGCAGGAGCAGGTTGACTGCACTGCACAAAAGACAACACACGAGACAAAACTGGTGCATTTTCAGCATACAAGCTCATGCTTCTATTGTAACAAAATAATAAATGTTCAGCATTATAAATAAGAAACTAATGAATATTGGAGCAATACCTACAAACCTTAAATATCCTAAATATCTTCTTTTTTCACAGTAAAAAAAAAACAGCTCTGCCCTACCACACACACACAACGCAAGACTGTATAGTACTCATTAGATTGTGGAATATAGTTTAATTCTCTTGTCTACTTTGTAGTAATATTACACTAGCTATTTTTCCTCCCCCCGGTAGTGCACATCCTGGCAGATTTGTCCCCCTGTGGGGAGTACCCCACCATTGTGAATGCAGTGTTTTGCAGTGGCCACCAGAGGGGTCCTTGCTGAGTTTACGCTGAATCTTCTGAAGCAGTTCTGCCAGCTATTCTGTCCAGCTATACCCAACCTTAAACTGCAGCAACCTGCTAAATATCTGGGAGACGGAGCTCTTCTACATCTCTAAGTGCAGCCATGTCCACCACAGGTTGGTTTTTTCTTCTTTTATAGAATTATTTAGGGTGTAACATACATTAACAGTTGTAAGTTGAGAAAAATAATACTTGTTTGTTTTATTATATGTGTTATCATTTTGTGATATTTACAAATAAAATGAACTGTTTTATGTGCATTCCTATCTTATGTAGTTAATTAGTCTGCTGCATTGTTGCTACAGTGTCAGTTTACTGCTGATGCACGGATCAGTGTTCTAACAAAGGAAGTTCTTTTGCAGACTCCCCACTGGCATGAACAGATAAACAATACTAAAGATGTTTAGCACTTGTTTCTCTCAAATTGATCAGACTTAATGGCACATAGAAAATGGTGGTAAGAAATACAAACTGCCAGCTCAGCCACTTTGGAGTGAGGGTTCAGCAACATGCAAGCCGCATTATTGACGTCCAGTTATCCTAACAATCTGGCACAGGCTGTAGCCCTGAAACAATTATATTTGCAAAATAAAAGGTTGAAAGTAAGAATCTTTATTAACAGTCTTTCATTTAAAAATGCTTAAAGCCACAGCTGCCATATTAAGTCGCCCCTAAACTCCAAATCACCTTTTAAACACTTTATTATTCAAGCTCTGTTCTGTGCTGCTGATGATACCTCTCTATCCTACTGCTGGCTTGTAACCCACTTTTTCATGGTGCATTTTTTTCTGCTGAGCAAAGATGCTGCATTGAGCTCCTCTCAGTGAAAAAAAAAAACTCCTGAGGAGTTGTGGAGCCAAGCCTGCAGATCTAGAGAGCTGCAAACCCTGCTGTCCATGGTGCTGGATTTAACACACACCCTTAAAGCTTTTGCTGTCCTTGGTGTTGCACTCAATATAACACAGATATTTCTTAGGTTTTTATAACTAACCAGACTCTTTCTTTGCAGAAACAATGTTTCCAGACCGAAGTGACTTTGATTATGGTAAGATTTACACCATCATTTTTTAAGAAAGCACAGTGTTTAACATCAAATGCTGTACTTTTCACTGCAGTATGTTTTAAGTTCATCATAAACCTCAGTTGGTTTGTTTGGTTAAGTCCCGTACGGTTTTGTCCTTTGTAGATTATGAGACTCTGCGGACCACAGGGGTTATCCTTGCTGTTATTATGTTTGTCTCTGGCATTTTAATAGCCCTGAGTAAGTTTAGACTTTCTGTTCCACATCACTTAAGATACTGCAGCTTTATCACATTTACATAAGCACCTTTACCATTTTTTAACTAATCTATCATTCCTCAAACAGGTAAAAAATTCACAAAATGTGTAAAATCCTCATCCAAGTAAGATTTGTGCAAGGCCTAATGGATGATCCGCCTGTGCATGCTGTATGATTTGACTTGAAGGGGATACCCAACCAGTGTGGGAAAAAACCCCTATCCTTTCCAGTATTGTTCTTTGACTAAAACTGAGTTTCCCACAGCTTTTTCCTACCCCTGCCCTGGATGCATTTTATCTAAATACCCCCTCCCTGTTCTGCATACACAACCTAAAACGCACTTCCAACACATTAAAGAGTTTACACCAAACCTTGTGTGACAAATCACATGTGGGCAGTGCTTTCATGTTCTCCTTCTCTCAGTGCTTGCTCTTGATTGTATGTGTCACACTCCTCATGTGTTGGTAGTGAGTGGGCAGTGTATATGGTCAGCTGATCGCATGCTGCTTGTATCGCAAGAGAAGAAGCAACAAGAGAGCTGCTGTTTGAAAAGGACAAAAAAGCTGCATTTTGGAATAAACCTAAATTACCTCCGAACCCTGTGGCTTCAACTGTTTGCAGATCCTGTAACCCAGATAATGGATAGAATCAAATTCAACTCCTAGTTGAAGTTGTGGCCACAGTTTTCAAACTATATTTCCTAATCACGAATTGTGATTAATTAAAAAAATACTAATATTTACTTATTTCCTCCCTTATGTCTGTTTGCAGTTCCAGCTCATCTGGCACCCAGATTCCAAAGACAGAGGGTAAGTTCATGTCATGTTCAAGTTTATGTCCTTAAATGCTGTAATGTTTGTTTTCTCTCTAAAATCCCTTATTTCCTTTTCTTTTTCAGTACCTCCTCAAACTGTATAGAAAATATTGTATATACTTAAAAGAGAGGTCGGCACAGGAGCCACGCCAGCGAATATACACCATGGCCATTCCTCTTACGGCCAATATACCTCTGCCAGCTGGATGATCAAGACACAGGATTTTCCAACCTGGTTTCACTAGGTTTCCCACCGAATTCTGTAAAAAATCTTAAGTGAGAAAATATCTATCTATTGATTGTTCAGTATTCTGTGAGTGTTGGGACTAAAAGCTTGTTTTAGACCAAAAAAAAGAAGAAGAAATCATAAAAGAAAAATTCCAACCACAAGACTTGATGTGGTACTTTTAATCAAACAAATGAAACAATTATTGCTGTCCCTCTTGCTTAAATTTCACTTCTGTGAAACAATAAAATTAAAAGCATGATTAAATATTTAAAGACTAGCAAAATCTCCAGGTCGAAACAAAGAAGTGCATGCATTGATCAATTGTAAGAACTGTCTTTTGTCTTTATTTCTGTTGATATCTACTTTTATGCACCTTAGCAAAATGCTAACCTATTAATAGAATAGACCAAATATAACCTAAAAATGAAATAGCTAGCACAATATCTTAATGAAAAAATGTAAAGACAACATTCAGTAATGTATTTTATTTTGAAAATGCTTTAAAAAATACAAGAATGGATGAAATGTGTAGTAATGTATTGATTTGGGGTTTACAATTTCTGTTTTATTTAAAAGGAAAATTAAAAATGAAATTATCTGTAAAAGCCTAAACAATGAGACCACTGTTTCAAATAAAGGTCCTGTCAACTCAACATGATTTTATCAGTGTCTTTAATAATCTAATAATAATCTGAATTAAGAATTATGTTGATGAAATGATCCAGTATGAAGTAATAATGAAAATATTATCATCATGTTATTTACATAGGGCACTGATCTTTCTTTTTTGCTCTACAGGAATTTACTATGTCTAATAACAGAGATGACACAAAGGTGAGAGAAGGCTCAAAACTTCTTTATCACTCAGATTACAGTGAACACCAGACCTCGTTTCACCTGTGACTAAGGGTCACGGCAGTAAATGTCAGTGTAAACTGGGAGTGAAACATAAATACTCCTTGAGTGTGACAGAGCTTTCTAGTGGGATGTTGTATTTTCCATCCTGCTCATTTCTGTAGCCTAATGTAAGTGGGGCTCTTCAAAGGGTGGCCTGAACATCAAAAGAGATAGATGGAACCTTTTAAATACAGTGTTATTGTACTTTTATTCATGACTCATGACTAAAATGTACAGTTAGTCAGACAATTTGTCACTGCACTTACTCATGTAATGTCTTTGTGATAAGAACATTCTTTGTCGTAATCAGTTTCAAATACATAAAACAATAGTTTTACACAGTAAAGTTTCTTTTCCACAAAGGAAGTACCAGATGTTATACACCTCAATATAACATGATGTATAAAGAAAGAAAGTTAAATTATATGATAGATCTGTTTCATTGTGAACACATGCATTCTTAACACACATAATGACTGAAATCTAAACCATCACTCAGTGTATCAATATGATAACAGGATATAATGGGGGCTTTTTGACAATAGAGTCAGCGGGGTTTCAGGGACACTGTCCTGGAGGTCATAGAAACGATTTCATAGAAATCAACATTTAACTGGGAGTGTAGCCTGTTAGGAAAATGAACATTACTCCACCATCCACAGCACCTTCTATACCTTCTACTCTTTAAAGATAATGCGGTTCATTTAAACACTTTCATTTAAAAGTGTTAAGTATCTATTTTGACAAAAAATAAATATATAAATTAAATTGTCTATAATTGTCAGAATTTTACAAACGTGCCAATTTGTGCAGCAGCAGGAGCATTTTGTGAAAAAGGCTTGATGGATCATATCACATTTTGGAATGAAACGCTTCACTTACACATGAAGACTTCACCCTATGCCTAGAAAAATAAATAAAGTACTATCTGTTTACAGACACTAAATCACAGGTAATTTAAGCTTTATGCATTAAAGCATTATTTGTCTAATCCAATGTGAATTATTCTACAGATTAAAATGCCAAACAACATATAGGCCAGAGACTCCCAAAACCACGTAGCAATAAATCCCCTTCTTAACAGGGGCAACATGTTAAAGGCTTATTTTCCTACAAATGGGGATTACAAGTGATTCAAATCATTCCTGGTCCTGCAAGGACACGATACGTCGACGAGAAGAAGCACTTCGTTTCTTCAGCATGAGCTTGAGCTAGAAGTGAAAAGATAAATTAAGGATGACAATGAATTACTCTTGATACAAACTAAAGCCGCAGCATGACTAAACAGTATGGATCTGGCTGGCTGTTAAAATGATGGGGCAGCTCACCTGCTCTCCCTGGATACCACTCTGCAGCAGGTGAGCTGGCTGGTCGTTCTCCAGGTTGCGGATACTGGGATCAGCTCCCTTGCTCAGCAGCAGCCGCAGGATTTCCTCCTGGTGGGGGTTACCATGGAGACCAGCTGCCATGTGTAAAGCTGTGTGACCATGAGCCTATTCCAAAAAGGGAAAATGCAGCATAACTCAGGCTGTTTACAGTCAGGTGTGTGTACAGTATTAGCACATATACATAAACCCACAAACACATGCATATTTAAAAATCCTGTTTTGAGTGTCGTGTCAGTGTGGGACTCACTTTCAAGTTGACAAAGTCTTTCATGTTTGGCAGGGGAATCCTGAGCAGATAGCGCACCAGATCGATGTTCCCCTCCTTTACAGCCAAGTGCAGAACAGTCTTGTTACTTTTGATTTCCTGGAATTGGAGAATTGGAAGTGATGGAAAAAACATAATGAAACCACAAGTCAGACTGAGACATTCAAGTGTCAAACAAGAAAGAGAAGGGTGGGGGTAACTTGTACTATGACATCATCATGGTTAGATAAAACCTGGGCACTTCCCCTATGAACTGTAAATATGACTGAAAGGTCAGTTTAGCATGTTAGACTTTGATCTGTCTTCCTGATTGCTGAACCACTGGTCATTAATCATTCATCTGTTAGTGTTCTGTCTATAATAGGCCTAATGTCTCATCAAAGCAGCTTACATCACATTCAAAAAGGAGAGAGAGCTATGCTCTACCTGGCTGAGCAGCGACGCCCCAGCATTGAGAAGCATCTGCACACAGGAGAGCTTCTCCGCGGCCTTGTTCTGAAGACTAACATCTACCAGCCCACTGCTGGACAAAGCCTTCAAGGTGACACTGTGAGAAATGGCTGCACAGTGCAGAGGAGTCATACCTGAGGTAAAAAACAAGAGACACATAACATTTGAATCAAAGTTCTAATGATGTCAGTGTTTTTGGACAGTTGGTTAATCATTCAGTAATAACAACTGGTAAAACATGAATTCACCTTCAAAATTGCGGGCCTCCAGGTTGACAGTCGGCCTGCTAGACAGAATCGCCTGAAAGAAAGAATCACTGTTAAGGTCTGCTCTGAGCTGCTGTGACATTGCCAAAGAAATTTACTGCTACTGGTGCTTTACCTGCAGAACCCCAGGTAAGCCATAGTGGGCAGCCAGGTGAAGGGCAGTTTGTCCTTTGACATCACAGGCGTTGATATCCGTTCCTAACGACAGCAGATCTTGCACGATCTCTGGCTGGTTTGCCGTCACCGCCACCAGTAAAGCAGTCTGCACAAGCACACATTATTCAAACAACTTCATTTTGACTAATTATAATACTATATGTTGGAGATAAAAAAAATACTCAAGAAGAGTAATTTGCACACTTTTAAAGACCTTTGAAAAACTTTTTTGTTCATACCTTTCCCTTGTGTTCTTTGGCGTCGAGCCTGCCTACAGCCCTCAGCCTCTCTGCAGCAGCAAAGGCACACTCCCTGAGCCCCTTGGCAGTGTAGATGTGCAGGATGCTAACAGAACAAGACCACATGATAAATTAGTTTTATCATGTGCAAACGAGGCTGCATGGAAAATCTTGGTAATCCCCGCAACCAATTTCACGCCATTCCCTTCCAGAGTCAAATTTGTCACTCCATTTTATCTGACTTTCTAATCACCGAGCATGAGTGGCTGACTCATTGACATTTTTTTGTTTTCTTCATCTTTCAAGGAATACAGAACTGCACATGTGGCCCTCGCTTTAGCTTGCGACTGAAAACGAAACTCCTCTGGAAGTAAATATATTGTGCACTCTCATACAGTGAGGGTTTAAGCGAGACTGAAAACGTGTATTGTTATGAATCTTACCGCAGACAATATGTTGAATAACAGTTCAGAGTATTTTTTTTTGTGTACTACTCTGTGTGTGTATCAGTGTGAACTTGCAATCTATGACGTCTAAATCTATGAAAGAAAAATAAGAGGTTCCATATTCTGCAGTTACACTTTTACTTATATAAACACACATGCATTTACTCATAAGCACTCACGTGTCTCCGTCTTCATCCTGCCTGGTGGCTCTGCTGTAGTCCATCCCATTCAGCAGCATCCTGGCCTCTTCCAGCTTGGTGGCGTCCATAGATGAACCAAAACTCAGCTGTGTGGTCTGACTGGGACCCAGAAGTGGCCAAGACGGAGCCATATTGGGATCCGCAACTGTCATCGGACAGTCCTGCTCAAACGAACACAGGATATCCTTTTAAATATTTCAGCAACATTAAAGTGTGATTATGCATAGACAAATACAAGGAATTTCTCTTACATATGGCTGAGACATTGTATCTCCAAATCCCGGGACCTGCTGCTGTGTGCTGTATTCAGATGCCATGCTGTAGGCTGAAGCATAGCTTGATCCTGAATGGCTGGGGTAATAATTGAGTGTAGACTCTGGCGCTGGAGGCCACTGCTCAAAGCTCACTGCCATGTCTGAGTAGCTGCCTGATGCACCTAGAATGGAAATGGTGGACTGTTACTCATAACTGATGACTCAGTGAGTTATATTTATAAATCATTGTCAAGGTCAAATGATTACACCAAAAGGGCTGGTGATACTATATTTTTAGCTCTTTTCAAAACAATATGTTATATTATTGGATGATTAATTGTTGATGCATTCATGTGGACAACGTATTAATGTTGCAGCTGGTGAAAGTGGAATTATTATTATATTCTTAACTTATAATATAACAATAAACTGTCATTTAAGTTATCAAATAATGTAGTAGAGTTCAAACTACAGTATTTGCTTCTCAAAAACAAAAAATGTAAAGTAAGACAAAATGGAAATAATTAGTCTACTTAGTTACTTTCCACCATTGAGCAGGGCGTGAAAAAATGGCAACTTCAGCAAGTCTGAATCATTAATTTATTTTTGGACAGCTATATCACCCTCTCTCTCTGTCACTCTCTCTCTCTCTTTCACATAACACTTATTAGCATTAATTTAATGTTACTTTTAGTCTTTTCATGTGATTAGTTTAACATAAGTAAAATATAGAATATCACCAGACTTATCCTATTCTTACCTGTACAGGAAAATGCTTCAGATGGTGACAACTGCTGGGAGAAAGAAAAAAAGAGCAATCATAAAAAATCACATCTTTACGATATAATATTAAGTGAGATGCTGAACCCCTTTGTGTGCTGCCTTACTGTAACAGAAGTTGGAGGAACAGGACTGGTGCTGGCCGTAGAGCAGACAGGTGGCACAGAGGACGACTCACGCCTTCTCTTCTGCTCCAAGAGTTTCTTCACTGTGGGCAGAGTGCAACACGGCTTCTCTTTTGGTGCTGGAAAGGAAAAATAATTGCCAAAAGGAATGACTACATGGTCATATATTTTGTTCACATGTGACGGGTATTGGAGATCAATAAAGTTTGGATATGAAACTGTTTATTATCCACTTCTCTGCTGGTTATTATTGATTAATTCTTTGGTCTATATAATGTCAGAAAATACAGTTTCCCAGAGACCAACGTGATGTCTTCAAATGTCTTGTTTTGTATGACCAAAAGTAAAACACCCAACAAGTAGAACAATAAAGCAGCAAATCCTCACAATTTTGGTTTTAAATATATGTAGACAGACTTTCAGCTTTATCAAGTGAGCTCTCTCTTTTTGTACTTGTTAGTATATCTAACGTAGTAGTAGTTAGTAGTAGTTTTACTGTATCTTAAGACTTGGCTTTATTAAAGCAGTAAATTCTCATTAAACTTAATACTACAAATGTAGGCTGACAAGTGGGAGACCATAGAAAGTTTAGATTATTGGTTTTAAGTAATTCAGGTCTGAATAAATCCTTAGAGTGAGATAATATTAAAATGTTATTACTCAGATGATATTGCCTGCTCAGTTTCTCCATGGTGACAATTTTCTGCTCACCTTTAGACATCAATATCAGATCCATTATACTATGAGTGTGTTTTCCCCCTGCAGATACAAAAGTATCATTTCCACTAAATAGGTAAAGGCAATGAGAAAAATAGGAAAAAATATTACAAAACAGAATTCTGATGTTTCCAGCTGAAATGATGTGACCACACAGGTTGTTTCCTCAAAAACTTCACCCCGCACGAGAAAGATAAAGTGATATTTCCACCCTGTCTGTGGAACCAGAGTACAAAGATAAAGCTCTGAGAAACCTCCTCCATTAGGAACACAGATCGTGTGGCCATACAAAACCAAACAGATTCAACAGAAAATCTTAGATGGGATTGCCACTGCTCATTTTCTATGACATCTTCCTGTCTGGCTCCATTACGCTAACGCAAACCACATCTTCCTGCCTTTGGTGTGACACAGTCACGTCACGTCAACACGTGTAGCTGCCTTGTACTTTCTATTGCACCGATATGTCTAGGAGGCACAGCAGAGGAAGAGTGACATGTTGTTTTTGTAATTTTTCTTTTACTTTTAAGCCTGTGAACGTTGACTACTGTGGTGAGCCACACAGGGACGAGACATCTCTATTCACCCGAGTAACTACAAAGAGGGTGTACTTCCTGAAAAATATATGCAAATTTGGCCTGTGAGAGAGAAGTGCTTGCGAGTTTAGACTTCTGTCAGTTAGTAGTGTCTTCTTTCTCTTAAAATCTCACGTCCAGCTGAAAACCTGTCTGAAAGAATAAGCCCTTATAAATGCTGCTGTGTGTTATAAGTGCTGCTGTGTCCCTACCACATAATAAAGGTCACTTTTTTAGAACAAATGACATCATTCACTTACACCAGCGACACAAGTTTCATTTCAGAGTGTTACTATAGGTTACTCAATTCTGACTCATTTGATCTTTACAACAAAATGCCGGCTTTGGCTTTTTAAAGAGATGATGTAATGCTGCAACATGTAACTACACAATCTATATTAAACAGCAGCTCAACAATCAGCTGTGAGCAACTAGAAGGGAGGAACATTTAATGGCCAAGAGTGAGAGGACATCTTGGCACATATATGTTTGGGGTTTACACTAACCGCCCCCACACAGTTTTGGGCTACTCTGTGCTACATTCAAATAGAAGTTGTGGAAACCCCTGGACATTGAGTCATGTGCGTGGGAGGTTGGGGATTCCGACGACCTTTCTCTTTTGGCCCCCTCCACACAGAAAGAAAGAAGCATTGCTAAACCAATTTCCTCATTTTGTGGTTTAACAACACGACACGGCAAAATATGTAATCATCCAGGCCTGTGTCAAACAAGGCATGAACAAAGAAAGTTAAGCTATCACGTCACACAGTTTGCTTGTCTGGCATTAAGCGAAAGGGGAAATGAAAACAAGTGAACAGGGGTGGAGGTGCATCAGGGTTTCCCCAAATGTCCTGTTGGATTCACCCGAATTATGCTCTTAATCACCGAAAACCGAGAGAAAGGCTATGAAGTTATCACTAAACTGTACACTATAAGTAGAGAGGTGTTTAATCTACAATACCCATTGGCTTATTGGCTAGAAATAACTTTTAATACACACTGGGAGTTTACAGAGGATCATTTAAGTCAGATTTAGGAGTCCCAAATAAAGTCAAAACAAAATCTATCAAATGTGTAGAACATGGAGGGATAGTTGTATTATGTTGTAGGCTTATAAGTAAAATATAATGGGTAAAAATTTAAATGAGTTCATCATCATAGTAACTAACAGAGTAAGTCATGAATGTATCTAGAAAACAAGTAGCCTACAGCACTGTATATTGTCACAAAAATGCAGTTAGGTTTTACTAATGTAAAAACTAGTAGTTCTTATTATCATCATTACTGTCAAACCACTCAACATTAGTGAAAATATAACAGCAGTGACACTTGTATTCTGTCATATCAAACAAAAATAAAAGCACACATACTCACATTTATCAAAGTGCATGTCAGAAACGGTTTTGCTTTGAAATCTTCAACAGGTCGTCCTCTTGGTCACCGATTTGTTCTAAACGTGATAAAGTCAGCCGGAGGGATCTGTGTTGTTCTGCCTGCTGGTCTTTCTGATTGTTGTCTCCTCTGCTTGTATACACAAACCACGTTGTTCCTCATCACCGCCCCCAGCTGTGCTCCACGCCCTCTTAGAGGGGAAGCCACACATTCAGCTTCGAGCCACGGATTACATCAATAAAGTTAAATAGAATGTGAGAAAGTGTGAAAAACATCAGCAGAAACAACATCCATTACAAGTAGGCTCCTTATAAACGCAGAGGTACATTATGTATGCCATTTAGTCAAAAGTAGCAACAGCATAATGTGAAAACGCCTTTGTGAGAGCAGAAGAAGTGAAAGCAAATGAAATCAAGTGTTATCAGCAAAATGTAGTCAAGTGTTCGATGTGTAGTCGACGTTTTTCCTCAAATACTGTAGTTTTTTTTTTTTTGTCATTTGCTTATAGGAAGTATAAGGTTGTAAATTGAACTAAAGCAAAGCTAACAAAAGAGAAAATGCGTTTTATCTTGTTGCACAAGATAATTACCTGTGTGTACAAATTATTAGCTTGTGTGTATAACATAATAAAAATATATCATCTTTCAGGACCTTAAAGGCGCCATAATTTTATACTCTGAAAGTCCATTTTTTAGTGAGTACTTTTACTTTTGATACTTGAAGTATATTTTGCTTGTAATACTTTTACTCAAGTATTTCAAATGCCTAAAAATGCAACATTTCACTTATATCTGAGTACAGTTAGTAGAATATAGTAGTTTTCCCTGTGGTATTGTTACTTTCATTTAGGTAAAAGATCTCAGTAATTCTTCTACCACTGATTATTAATATAATATTGGATATTAATACACTAATATGTAAGTGACATTTTAATGTTCTTGCTGGTCCAGGTTGAATCAGTATTGATTGTTTTTAAAGAATCAATTGTTTGGTAGTTTAGTTTACATTAATGTGTCATATTTTATGAGCTGAATTCATGTGTTGACTAATAAAAAAATAAAAAAATGTCAAATAAGTTGTCTCTGAGATCTAATGACAAGCAGCATAATAGAGTTAATGAATTAAAGTACCTCAAAATTGTACAGTACTTGAATAAACTAGACAATTTCTCAAGAAATGTGAGTGTGCCTAAATACCTATATAGTTTGGGAATTTATTTTGAAAAACTAAGTATATCCGTAGTTTCCTGTTAAGATGGTTACTATATGGGGTTTTTATTTTGAAAGAACAGCCTCATTCTCAGTCTCCAGTTAAGTTACAGTACATTTACTCTCTGGGGATTTTATTTTGAAAAAAATAGGTGCATCCCTTGCCTCCAAGCCATTGGGGGCTTTATTTTGAAAAGCAAGAGCTTCCTGTGTATTTGTGTGTGTGTGTGTGCATAAAAGATAGAAGAAAGACAAAATGGCTGACATTAAAAGTGAATTAATTAGAGTAACCAGCCATCAATATTAGACAGATTTGAATTGTGCCAATCACAGTCAGCCGTCATTTCCCAGCAACCAGCTGGTCTCAGCTAAAAATAGCTCATCATCAATCCACCAATCAGAGCAGAGGAACAAAACTTATACCTGAAGGGGGAAATTTGTGGGAATGAGAGCAAATTAGAGAGACATTTTAGCCTTAAATTTTAGAGCTTCTCTACACTCAAACAAAGTTTTTTCACAGTTTTTTGCGATTTTTGTGTAAACAGTTTGGCGAATCGTTAACAAAAGTCATCTCTCGAATGTGCATTTCACATTTAGGCATACTAAATTAATTTCAGTCAGTCAGTGTGAGGGACCAAGCTGGCGGGCATGAGGAGTCAGAGATAAGTTTCCCAAAAAAGCGAGTCTTTATACACTAAACAAAATGAAACAACCAATTTACAAAATCTACAATAAAGTTCTGGGGCCCCTAAAAGAGGTCAACTATACAGAACTACAGGCTACGTTAACTTAACATGAACTAAACTGACTAAACCGACCTTACAAACTGAGACACTGGGGAATCTTATACAGTGGCAGATCAGGCCATCCTGACAAACAACATTTGAACAAACTACAGTACACATGTCGAGATAACGCTGCATAATAACTAAGGAAAAATACTGAAACACTAATATCCAGCACATTATTATCTTATTATTACCTACAAACTAAACTAGAAAACACTGCCCCTCCCCATGATGCAGGAGAACATGCAGTCAAATTATAAATCAATCCATTTATAACCTAAATTAATAACCGAATATAACAAAAATTGACAAAGAAAGTTAACTACATTCGTGTACCCAAATAGACTATCTGTTGAAAAAGGCTGATAAAACTGTGTCCAGTTATGGATTTGTGCATTTTGAATTATGTGTTTAAACCTAAACATAATAAAACAGATGAGAAAGAGTTACCACCATGTGCTTCTGTTCAGTGTGTGGATGCTAGTGCGGCCATCACAGCAGTAAATCCGTAAATCAACTAATCAATTAAAAATGTCTTGCCTTTAGTGCAAGGATGTAATACTGTATCTCAATAAACGAGGCAGGACTAACACAACATAATAAAACAACAGAATACTAAAACAGTAAAATAACTTGTTTATGGTTATTAAGTAATCATCAAGTATAGTTTAGTCTGTGTTAACACATATGTTCACATAATTAAACTCATTTGTTTTCAACTTTGGAAATGATAGGTTACATAACTTTTTATGTTATATAAAGTACAATGTCAATCATTATGAGATTGCCAGCAGGTTCAACTCCTGTGTTTGAAATGTTAATGGTTGGGCTAACTGTTTTGTTTATTTGGCTCTTATTTGGCTTTAAAAATTATTTTTGGCTACCCTGTCTAGACACAACCTTATAGGAACCTCTGTGTCACCTAAAAAACACCAACATCCAGATATTGGAACAAAGTGATTAATCTCTTTTACCAAATGACTAAACATTTTAGTGTACTTTCTCCATAAACCAAACAAAATAACAGAACAGAGAACTGAAAGTAATCAGTAAAATGTGAAGAAATATAATCACATAAAATAAGTGAAACAGCAAGACTAATGAATTATAAGGGTACATGGGAGAAATTTGGATAACCAAATAAAGAATTGGATAAAATACTATGTGAAAGTGATGTGTTCCAAGTTTTTTCTTCTCTTTTTTAAAATTAAAATCTGTTTCTGACAGCCTCAGGTTCTTAGTTTGTTTCAAAGGTGAAAACACAGGCACTTAAAGCTGCTTTGCTGTCCGGACAAACAGACAAATAGCCAGAGGACCACAGGACACATCTAAAGGAAACATGAGTTAAAAGCATGTCTGACATATATTCATAGGTTAGGCTGGTGACTTCTAAATTAATAACAAAATCTTAAAATCATACCTCTACCTTCTGGTCCTCTATTTCTTATAAATGTATAGGCTATAGTGTTAAGTAGAAAGAAAAAAGAAACACGAAATAACAAGGAAACAAAAAAGAAAGGAGAAAAAGAAATAATCAAAAAAAGAAATGGCGACAAAACCAATAATGAATTACATTTATATAGCACTTTCTTTGAATACTAAAAGTGTTTCAAGTGAAGGGGGAAACCCCCCTCAATCACCACCAATGTGTAGCATCCACCTGGGCTATGTGTGGCAGCCATTTCATGCCAGAACACTCATCATGCATCAACTTGAGGTGGAGAGCGAGGGGGAAACATAATGCCAGTTACACTCAGGGGTGATTAGATGGCCAGATTGACAGAGGCCGGTTGAGAACTTTGCCAGGACACCGGGAAACCCCCTACTCTTTATGATGCCATGGGATCTTTAAAGGCCACACTGAGTCAGGACTTTGGTTTAACACATCATCTGAAGGATGGCATCTCCTACAGCACAGCGGCCGCTCCCCATCACTTTACTGGGGTACTAGGACAGTATCAGGACCAGAGAAAAGTCTGCCCCCTACTGGCCCACCAACAACACTTTCAGCAGCATCTTCCCATGAGGACTCCCAGCCCACAGTACTAGCCAAGCCCATGCCTGCTTAGCTTCAGTCATTCAGCTGAAGCAGGATTCATGTTGGTATGGTTACTGGCTATGTGATACAGTATAGTAATTAGGGTATGCATGTGTACCCTGCAGGACAAAATTGCTGTACCATAAGTTGCATGTGTCTATTTATCCAGGCCCAAATAATTGAAAGTTACATGCTGTTTTATAGAATTGTTAAAGTTTCACTCTATCTTGTGACTTTTAACACAATATCACACATTTTGGGGTTCAGTATCTTGATAAAGGATACTTCGACATGCAGCAGGGGATCAAACCAACAACCTCCTGATTAGTATACGACCCGATCTACCTGTGAACTCTATGTACAGTCTGTACTGTGGATCTTTGTGTCTCTATTAATAAAGACTAAAGTTGAAGTATATATGTGAAACTTCTACACAATAATTTCAGTTTCATCTACAGTGAGGCTGTCAACAGAAGCCTCACAGCTCCATCTGCTGTTACAGTTAGAGAGTTTGAATCAATCTAATTCAAAGGCAAGGCACTGCTGACCTAAAATCAAATTGACGGCTAAAGGTGCAGATAAAGTCAATTGCCAAACTGACAAGTTAACAGGCTGACAGGCCAGGTGAAGGAATTGAGCCAAATGGGGATGTAAAAATGTGTTTTATAAAACCATAGGTGCCTGAATGTGTGTGGATGTATCTGTGCATTGAGTAAAGAAGAGTGAAGAGTTAAATGAACACAGTGGTGGCATTTAAACAACCCACACACTTTGACACATTTCTGTTGAGATAACGTCTCTCCAGATTATCTGTGAGCAGTGTTTTAGTAAACAGGCCCCAAAGATGGTCCAGCTCCTGTTGTCCACTGTGCGTTCCAGCTTATATATTCTGGAAGAAGATATAAAGTTACCTGATATAAAATATCAGTAACAAGGGAGATAAAATCTGCAGTTATAAAATTGCCCATTTGCATTGGGGTTACACAAAAACAAAGTTTCCGCCCAGCAGAGGAAGAAAGAAAATTTGACGTCAGCCCTCAAAAGTGAAAACTAATGGGAAACTACAGAGTCACATCTTCTTTTGGATTCCGGACGACAGCAGGGAGAGCAGGTTTGAGGATCTTAACTCACAATGACTTTCTCTTCCTTAATACAACTTTTTAACCATTTTCAAAATGATTTTGTGTGTAGTTCTAGACATCTTGGGAAAAGTTTGTTTTATACAACTGTGAATACAGAATTTGACATATCAAATGCAGTTAACAGAGCTTGATCTTATTCTACCATTTTGCCAAATATATATACCAAAAAGACCAAACCTGCTTTTTTAAACGGTTTGGGTGATTTTTGGGTGACTACTGAAATTTGAAGGAGATGAAATCATAAGACAATATGAGTGTTTACTGAATAAACTTCTACATTTTTGAAGCATGGAACACAAGACAAAGTTTTGTCTCTGATTGTTTTCAGAAAGCACATAATCGAGTTGACAAACTTGGCGATGGCATACAACAAATGTTTTATCGTTGCCCTATTTCTTCTTTCCAGTAAGTATGTTTTTTCTCCTCGCTTATGCACAATTTGTAAGGTGGTCTTACACAGGAAAATGAAACCACAAACATGTTGCACGGCGGAAACTTAACTGCCAAATGTGTTGCTGCATGCTGCAGCAAAAGAGCTGATGTTTTCATCTTTGTTTCCTTTCTTTCTCTAAGACCTGGCTGTGGCACACACAGGTATGTGCAACAAAAAGAGCACATACACCACTCTGAAATGGAATTTTTATGAATTGTATCGTTTAGAAAAATAAGCAGCACAAATAAAGAGACTCATTTTTTCCAGTCAGTCTTAGCTCACATCCTTCATCCCACTCTTCTTTTCTGTCTGTGTGCTCATTCACCGTCTGCCTGCGGTTTGCCAGACAACACAGTGTCTTGCTACAGGATTGAGCCGGGGACAATAGCAGGCATCGTCTGTGCAGATGTGTTGCTGACTCTTATCATTGTCATTGTCACCTACCGATGTGCCAGCTTTCGGCGTCAGAAGATAGACAATGGTAAGGAAATGGAGCTGAAATGAATAATTTTCATGGTGTTTGTATACATATATTAGTGTTGTGTGTTACAGTAAAAGTGTTGTAGACAAGAATGTTTATAAAGGCCTCTCAGAACTTCTTTTGCCTTTTTTATACTCCTATTTTATTATCATACAAACATTTTTCTCTTTACATTCTTAAAAGTTTTTGCCTCTTTTCATTTTTATATTTATTTACTTATTTAAATGTATCCCTGCCAAAAGTCCCTGTGATCTATAATATGACTGTATCCTAACTAACTTAATTTTCTTTATGCATTTGGTAACTCTATTATCAAATAATAAAATCTCTCTTTTTGTGTCTCTCTTCTCATCTCTTCACAGCTGACAAAGTGTATATGAATGTCCGGGCCAACCTCAAGAGCTAGTCTAAAGAGGATGTGGTACATCAAGAAACTCTGATACTTTTTTAAATCATCTTTATATATACATATATATATATGGTACTAAGTGTAATTGAGTACCTCAAATGTGGAGCATCTTGCACATACTATTTCTGTTCTGTTCATGACATATAATAAACACAGTCATAACTCTTAATTTATATGACAAAGTATTTTGACTTTCACTTCACTTTCACTATTGTATGCAATGCATTGAATTTACGACTGTTTTAGTGTCCTGTAAAGCTCTAGAACACTTTATAAAGAGCATTTTCGAAACTGTGTGTACATCAAATTCATCAATTTCACTGTACCTACACCATATAGCATCCTCTGCTGTTGAGTTTTGGTAGTAAAATGTCAAAACACTCTATTCTAACAAGCCCTGGAGATTTTATGTAAATATTTTTGTCACCAAATAAAAGACAGATCCAGTGATTTTATGTTTTATAGTGTGTTTCTGACAAACTTAGAACAGAAAAGTATAAAGATAAGTTTTAATGAGTAAAAAAAAAAAAAGAAGAAGAAGCAACAGGCCTATAAAAAACATCCATGTGTGGCGGCAAGATGTATGTTAAATGGACTTTAATATCTACTTACAAAAGTATAATTTTATAAATATAATTTTGTGTGCGGTTGTTTCAAATGCTTATTTTCTTAATTTTCTATGTTTGTTAGCTTCAAAAGTTTACGTATTCTGGGTTTTTCATAAATACCTCTTCTTATCTATGTTATCATGCTGTACTATTGTGACATTTGAGAAATGTGACTAACAGGAGACCTGATTAGATTTGAGGCAGTTCATGTGAAGTCCTGCTGTGTGTTGAGGTGATACTGTGGTTAAACTTCTGTCATTTCAATCAAACACACAGAACATGTTGACCAAGCCAATCCAATATCTCTGCAACATCTGTCTGTTCTACCTCCTCTATAGGTGCTGTATCACTAACAAAAGGCAGTCTGTGCAGTGCAGTGGAAACCTTCTTGAATAGATAACCCAGAGTGATTGTTTTTCGAGGGGCCAACCAAGGGATGGAATTTGAAGTTTATAGCTAAACTCTTCTCATCTCTTCTTACTTTCCCAAAATGTGTTGCAGGGAAGTTATGCATGATTAATTTCCCACTTGGTTGATACAGCTTAATTCCTATTTGAAAAAAAAAAAAGTTTTTTCTCCCATCATCAGTCTATAATCTGTGGAGTGTCTCAAGGTTCAATTCTGGGACCAATCACGCTTTGATGTTTATAACTTTCTTACAGTGTTTTGTGGATGACACCAACACCTACACTTGCACGTCACCCGTTTGGTTTTCTATACTTCTTGACACTAAAAACAACCTAGTCTGTTGTCTGTTGCAAAGTCCCAGGTTCAAGTCCGGCTCATTCTCAATTACAAAATGAAAAATGTTTTGGTTGCTAGACTATTAAAGATCACCTAATAATTAAGTAATTAATTAACAAAGTTTTAACAACAATCCATCATATTTTATATATTATATATTTATGTATTCATATATTTATATTACTATATTAAGTCCAGCTGCTCCACAGCCCTTTTTCCACAAGGTCAGAGGTCAAACAACCTATTAACCAAAAATTTCAGATGAACTAACAAACTAAAACAAGCACCCTACTAGAAGAAAATAAATGCCAACTAAATGCTTTTCCACAACCTGGTAAACCAAAACTGATGACTTCATGGCTGTTCCTGTAGAGTTTTATAACTAAAGTGCATGATACTTTTGTATTTTCTGGAGCAACTTTGAGAAACTCAGGCTTGTTAAATAATAATTTCTAAATATTTTTATTTTATGGAACTTTTAATGGTTCTGTTTAATTAGTGCACTCTTCTTTTTTTTTAACTTATTTTGTGTTTTCTGTCTGATTAGTTTCAAACATTCGCCATTGTTGTAGTTGTTGTTGTGTCTGTGTATGGATATGCTCAGTACACAAACGGTACACATGTATGCTGTACTTTACATATTGATAATTTGAAATATATTTTTCAGTCATTTGTATTTTATACTGTATTACATTGTGAAACATGAAAGGTCTCCTTGACTAAAACAATGAAGGCGTGCTTTCATTTCGCTGACTGTACAGCAATTTTTTAAGATAAACCTGTGGTTTAACAATGGCTCACTGACTATAGGTAGCAGTGGCTGAGACCAACCGCCTGCACTAAACCACAGGTCATGAGGAAGTGCTCTATTTGGAGATACGATCGCATGTATTTCATTTCAGCAGAAACTGCAGGTGTAATGAAACTGACCTTATACAGTTCCTTATCTTGACATCACTTGGTCAAGTTAATTTGAAGAATAAACATTATGTTAAAAAAAAGGCTGGGCTGAATCTCAATGATCAAATGTGACAGACTGAAAAAAAATGTGTTTATATAAGACTAACAATCACAACATTACAGAGAGGACACAAACACACCAGCTTCCTCTTCTCTCAGTGGACTCCCTCCTCTTCCTCCTAACACAGTCACATGCTGATATCCCTCTCACTGCCCTGGTAGTGGTGTCACTACCAGTATCGCCTGCGGACGCTTCTTTTTTGCTGAACCCTCCCACGTCTGGCATCCAACAACTTGTTTATGGGTGCGACAGCACGGCCATTTCAAAGAGATCAGAAGGACCGGTGGCCCTCAACCTCTCCTCCTCAGTTCCTCCTCTACCAGAAACCAACCTTTAAGAAGATGTCTGACGCTCTTTGTATTGTGGGTTCGTTGTTTGGTGAGTGGTGTGCTATATGTGTTTTGACAGTGAATAATTATGGCAACGATACAGTGACTGTTTTCTTATGAGGTTTTATGAACTCTTTGCCTTTCAGGCTCGGCAGAAGGCCAGCAAGGTATCTAATCTTTTGCTACTGTGGTTTGCTAGAATATGATGTTGCCTGTTTTGGTTTTGTGTTATAACTTCTTCTATCTTTCACAGAATGTGGTTCCTGTTACGTAATAAATATGGGATCAGTAATAGGCATTATTGCCTCTGACATTATCTTGACCATCCTCATCACTATTTCTGTGTTCTGCTTTGCAACTTACCACAAGAGACGGAGGGACTGGGGCTCTCATGATGGTGAGCACTAACTGTATGTGCATTGTGGCTAATGTGTGAGTATGCTGGGCGGTAATATGGCAGGTGGGCATTGACACTTTAATTTTTTTTTAACAGGTAAAAGAAATGTGCAACCATCAATATCAAAGAAAATGGCAACAGAGGTCACGGAATCTCCCTACCAGGTATAGCATTATATTAAGCCTCAAAGACAATAAATATGAAAGTTATTTCAGGTTATATTTAGTCTGCAACTAACTGCTTTGCTTTTTTTGTAGGAGTTACATGGAGTCCAGTCGGATGTGTACAGTGAGCTTCGGCACTTTAGGAAATGAAACAATGTAACAAGAAAAATACCAATATTTTCTCAAGATATAACTGTAATGCTACACACACTTCACATTTTGTCTTTACAATTATGCTATAGATATATATGTATATGTTTTTGCATGAAAATTATTATATTCTAAGTAAGTACTGTATTGTGCAGTTTGTTCTTGTTATTTTTGCAAATCTTAAGCTTTATAAAATACTTTATATATTTATATTTAACTACACTCTAAAGCAAAAGAAATGAAAAGGATGCATTCTTTACATTCATACCAAATATTACACTGTAGCCTACTGTGTATACGCAGTTTCCACAAATAGGCCTAACACAAAGTTGTCAAAACCTCTTTATTTCTCAAAGTTGTTCACGTGATCACATAACAAAAAAATACATGTATAAATCTAAATTTAGATGAAAAAGTCCCTGAAGCAACTGTATTTGGAAACAGCCTGCCTGCCTCACATGACTCAACAGATGGCGGCCCCTGAATCATTATGAGGAAGGAATAGAATCTGAAAAAAAAGAGAGGAAAAACAATTGTTATTCAACATTACAGTCATACTGGATGAGTAACAAAGCAAGATCTAGGAAAACTGTTTCATCCTCTAATTAGACGAGGACGGAATGTAACTCATTTAAATGTACATGATGTGGTAAATGTTGTTGAGATATAACCAAAAACATTTGTCTGATTCAAATGTAGAAGAAACGGACCTCCGTATTATCATCAGGTGGCTCGGCTCTTGGCTGGAACAGACAAGCTACTGGGCATGTGCTCTGGAGGTGCAAAAAAAAAAAAGGATTACAAGAAAATCTTTCAGGAAAGCAGTATGTTGTTGTATTGTATGCGTTGGTCATCAACAAATTGTTACAATCTTTGTTAGTAAAAAAAAAAAAAGAGAAAAGAGTCCATACCTGTTTGATACATTTCAGCACTTATAAATTCTCTGGTTTCTGTGGGAATATTAAGATCCATTATTCAGCCTTTGATTGCTCAGAGCAAACTTTTTGGAACAATTTTGTTTTATGTAGAGTCTTACCATCATGGTCTGTATATCCTCTGTTGCCCACAGGAGCAGGGTTGCCATTGTTTTCCTCCAAACTATCCCAATCCAGCTGTTTTCTGTTTGGACCAGGGGCTGGCATACCATTAACTCTTCCCGGTGTTGCCCTGCTTTGGAGATTGGTGCCTAGACTGCCGCTGTCAGAAACGTGGTCTCCGTTTAAACCGATAACTTGTTTTCCTGACAGATTTTCAGCCACCTGAGAATCTGCCGTCGTCCCTTCCGTACCGTTTAGAAGCGTTCTGCTCCCCTGGTCCCGAACCAGCCTGCTGCTCACATCCATCAGACCCATGTTGACTTTCTCTACTCCTGTTTTCCTCCTTGATGGTGCCTGATCTTTCTCCACAACTTTAGTAATCATGATGTCTTGGCTGTCAGGGTCTTTGAATGCATCTGGAAAGAATAAAAGTTATTGCTTCAACATCTGCATCAATATTTTCTCTGCACTATAACCAGTGTTGGGCTAGTTACTCAAAAAATATCCTAAAAAATATATGACTCAGTACTCGTTTTTAAAACATTTTCACTTAACTTACTTAATAATAATTACTCCCTGTCTACAGTAATCAGTTACACAACTAGTTATATTACTTTTCTGCTACTCCCGACAAAATTGGTAATTGTCTCCGTCCAACCAAAATTCAGACTTGTTTTTATTTTTGTTAAAATAAAAGTAATGGGAATATTTCCAGCTGCTGAATATAACTGTTTCCATCTTCAAAACTAGTTTAATCCACAATTAGAAAAATTTGACTGATTAGTAGATGCCAACAAAAATAAAATTGTAGTAATATTGTAATTGGGGAGTAACAGTATTATTACTGAAATGTATGTATTTATTAATTACACAACTTTACTGGGTAAAGTAATATTATTACAGTAATATTATTACTAGTAATGAGTTACTGAACAGCATTGACAATTACAGATTACATTGAGTTCAAGGTGCTGCAAAAAAAACATCTACAAATAAAGCCCTCTTACACGTAAATCCATCAATGCCAAAACTATCTGTAGAGTTTGCATCTGATATGTCTGTGATTGAGTTGGCTGCTATTTAAAATTAAAAGCCTGCTGATGACAAGAACCATAAATCCACAGCTGCTTTGTATTTTGATGTGTGGTATTTGTAATACAAAATCATAAGACAATTTGTAATCACAATGAAGCTACAGTTAGTACTTTCTTTCAGTGGCAATCTTTGACAGGTTTTCTATATGCTGCAGATATGAGAAAATATGATGATCACTGGTTTACCGTAACGATCAGATAATGTCAAAAGTGCCTGCTACGGTACACGCTGACGTTACACAAATTCCATAAAAGACTCTGTTCTTTTTATGTCCCTGTTGTGACCGGGTCTTTGAATCTCACTTCTATGATCTTGGGGAACAAAAAGTACTTTGAGGATCTGATGAGATGAGCTGTCAATATGTGACCTTCCCATTTAAAAGTAGTATTTCTGAAAGCTACAATTTGAATCGCAGACCTATTGTAGTTGCAGGTATGGTCTTTTCAGTTGTTGTGCCAAGTGCATCTATAACAACAGAAATTAAGAGGTTATCGCAACAGTGATTTAAACGGTTATTCATTTGATTTCAGAAAACAGTAGTAGGACTGTTTTTTTTTAAAAACCACAAATAATCTCACCATTTAGGAGGATGTTTTCTCTTTGAGCTAGATAAGAAGAAAGCATTTTACTATCCTATATAATTAATCTAAAGTGTGTATTTTAAAATTTTAGTACAATCAAAACAACATTAGTTTATTTTTTCTCCCTTCAGATTGGTTTACCTTTGATTGGGGCCGTTACCACCACAGCAAATGGAAGAAGTAGACAACATGTGAAGCTAAAACAAATAAAACTAAAATTAGAAATGGTTAAAACAAGGTTAAGACGCACAATTGTTATGAATTTTCTGCCATGGTCATTTGCAGCTAGCAAATAAAATACATTTCAAGGACAGATGTTTGAAAAGACAAATATCTATTAGACAAAATGTGAAAACTTACATCTTCATCGTTAAGTTTGGTCCCCGGCTGTCTCCACTGTTTGTCAGCAAGAGTGCAGCTAGTATGCAGTTTATATACTGCTGCTTTATCCTGATTATCCACCTTAAATAGCTCTTGCCCAACTTAATTACAGATTTTGACCAGATTGAGTTGCATTCAAAGACAATTTCTGTGTGTTTAATACACTGTGCAGGCAGAGGAGCAACAATGAAGCTACAGGATAGGTTTACAAGGGCCTATTCATTATATCTATTCAAGATGAAAGCAGATGTTCTCAACATCCAAACGCAGATAAAGGATCAGTCTTTCTCTCTATTAGGCATCGATTACAGGTGGTTGGTTACTTCAGGAAAATGCCCCAGGCTTTTTTCTATCCTTTTAAATGATGCCACAGAACATGTATTGTTTCCTGTCACTATTTCACCCATTGTCCATTGTACCAGTGAGCCCTATATTTGCCCTAACAAAGACCTTTTTTTAAAACCAGGCCCTAGTGAACATTAGCGTATAGAAATGCCTCTTGGTAGAAATATCCTGAATGTGTAGTAACCAGGTGAGTATTTGAATTGCAATCTCACATGTGTGCCTGCTGTACTCCTACTATTATGTAAAATGTGAAATGATGTTGGCCAACATCTGCCCTCAACGAGCTGAAGACATGTGGTGGTCAAACGCGCATGTTGCTTGTGGAAAAGAAGTTAAATAACCAACGAAACATGCCAGTTGTGTGACTGAATACACACACAGACTCAGGCAGAGAAAAGTTTCCGACCTGTTGGTGGCAGAGGGGGTTACAATCTCCCCCATGAAAAAGAAAAAGGAGAGCGCCCTCTGCGGGAAAGGCTATTCGCACTAAGCTCTTGATCCCAAGCATCGCCATATTGACGTCCCAACAACGCTGAGAGGTAATCGTGTTATTTAACCACAAATCGTCGTAGGTTTGGAACTACCGCTGAGTGTTTCATATGTGAGGAAGAGCTGGGAACAAGTAACACAACCGCGGTGCCATCCTACTGCTCGATCACAGTGTTTGTAGGATGTTTTTTCAAGGCGTTGTCAGTCAGTTGCCTCGCCAGCCAGCAGGCTATTCACTCCCTTAGCCTGCTAGCCTAGCACTTTCTAGCTTTAGGAAATATCTTTTTCGAAGCTTGTTATTCAGCTATACCTTAATAATAACCACTAGAATTGTTTTTGGTTATCTACACGCGGACTGTTTGTCTCCTCCCGTTACAGTAGCATAATGTGGCCGAGAGCTAGTTGTGACTTTCCAACCGGCATTTCCCTCTGCTGTTGACGAGCTAATGCTAACTAGCTAGCAGCCCAGCCAGCTGCCCGGTTTTGCCTGATAGCTAACGCTAGCTGCTAGCAGCACTGCACTTGTGCAGGCCTTGGGCCACAGAGGGTTTGTGCGTACACTCACCTTTTTATTAAAGTACTAAGCGGGCAAACTAGCGGTAACTGAACGGGTGGTTTTCCCCAGAGAGACCATTCGTCGATCGGATGCGTCTCATAAGCCCATTTATTTAATGCAGCCATGTAGCTGAATACGTTAGCTCACATAGTTTGCTCATGTTTGCTTAATTGACAGCATTGATTTTAATCAACCTACTTTCTGCCTTTTTTTTTCCAACAGGAGATACTGCCTTGGTGTAGCCCCCAGTGATGACTGTATTGAACCCTGTACCTCCTGATTAGACTGGTTGGATGCCCCCATTTAACATCCAGGTCTCTATGTTTCACATGCCACCATATTTAGACACACTAGGCAGCAATAATTAAGTTTAAGTTGATTTTTTTTTAGTTTGTATTATAAGAAACACATGCTGCTATTTTAGTTACCTGTAGCACGTTGGGAGCAATTGTATTTTCATATGAAATTCTCTTATTCAGATCAACATCCTATGAAACAGTGTGGTGGAAAAGATTTTAAATTTAAATGTTTCGTAATCTTTACTTAACATTTCTCAGTTCTACGTATGGTATTGAACCAATATGAATGATTGGATCGTAGTATGCTGACTGTTTAATATCCGTATGCCCGTGTAGCTTTCTTACCATAAAGGCAACTCAAGTGCTCCTGTTCCGATTCATCAATCACCATCATCCTGGAGGGAACCTCCCAGGTATTATGTTATCTTATAAAAGAAATGTCCCTAATATCTCCTATTTTTTGTTTTATGATATCCTCAAATGCACACTATTGTACATTAATACACAAAATGCTTTTGAATTGACAAAAAAAAATGCTGTGAGTTAAAGAAA